TAAAATAATTTCCAAAGTGTTACTTATTAACACAAATAATGCCATATTTTTCTACCAAAAAATTACGTATTACATCAATAGCTTAATGAACATTATTACATAATTTCACTTAAAGAATGTTTACTCAACTTTCAAAAAGGAAGAAAAGAAATATGAAAATGCAATTTACAACAATTCCAGTGTCACTTAAATAAGACACTGTGTATATACATTTCTTCCACACATCGCATCGAAGTAGTCAATAACATAATTGTTGCCCCAGTTGTAAGGCCCAAAAAGACGGATTTCCGATTTCTAATTTCTCTCATATATCTTGTACGTAATTCATTCTTACTCGAAAAAAAGAAGTTACGTCTTTAGACATCGCAATGGAGGAGCTCACGCATAATTAAGACACACCAGTAGGAAAGCAAACAGAGGGAACATGTTATCTTGGCTCGGTTGCATGGACGCCTCACCTTGGGGCTGACACGCTCGCTTCTCTGCTCCATTTGTCACGATAACGCGAAAACGCTATTAATTGGCCAGCTGTCGCCGGTAATAATCGATCACCAGGACTGCCTGATTTACGAAGAACTCTATCACACCACTCGAGCTGATACCTCTCGCCCACGTGCTCGTGTCAGCCATGATAGAACTCGATAATGATTGCCCAAGAATTCTTTTTCCATAAGACACCTATGTTAGAATGTCGATTATCTGCGCCCATTAACATCAGTTCGATTTATCATTAGCTAAACGTCCAACCGTATGAATATTGATTTTCCGATGATAAATTATATACCGGGTGTTCTGTTCGACTCGGAGTATTGGGATATTTTATGGAGAATTAAGGTAACTAAATTAGTGTCCTTAGAAGAGTTGTTTGGTATAAAAGTGGATGTTAGTCACTACTAGTCTGCTGTACGAGAATTTTAAATTCATATATCAAGTGAGAATATCGTTAGGCTTGCTAATATTTAGATATGTATACATAAATATAAATATTATTAGTTTCCAACTCATTTATCCGCAAATAAATTTATCAAAATCTCAAAAAGATTATTTTTAATATTCCAGTTATATTTATTTAAAATATATTTTCCATTAATATAAAAATACATGGTAATTGTATTCTTCAAAATCATACATGTATGCACCGTTATACTCGCATCTGCAAATACCAGAACATGATCATTTCGCTTTCATTAAATTCTCTAAAACTGTATTACAGAGAAGCTTCTTATCAAATGTCAACCCATTTAACAGATTAAATTTCGTGCTAACGCGATTGCATCTAGAAACGTCGCATAACCTCATTTTCAATTCTCGCTTTCCTAAATGTCCATAACGACGCAGCTGCCATCTACCGCGTGCTCGGTCGCGTTAACGAATCACGTGACCGTGCAAAAGTACGAGAGACGCGAAAAAAAGCAAGGGAATATCGTTAGCAATGCTGGCTGGACACTGGCGGTCGAGTCGTCACCTGTTTACAACGGATCGCGTTACATCGGACAGAGGCAGTGACTGCGCGTTAATAGATCGATGTCGAAGGACACACGTAGGTTTGTTCGTCGAACGCGCGACCATTATCCGGATTTTCATTTCATCGATTCCTCGCTGCTGGATTTGCGTCAGCCCGAGGCGACGGTGTCCTCCATGGAAGGATTTATGAAGATCTCATTGGATTTTTTCCCTTTCCTCCATTTACCCCCCTCTGCCACGCTTTTTCTACGTTTCCCTAGAATCGTTCGAGTCCCACGCGATGGATTGAGTAAAATTGCGAGGTCTCCGCGCGAGATGTCTCGCGTCTCCCTAGGGGCTGCCGGTGAATGCTAATGGCGGCGTCGAATGTCGTTTAAATACAGAGGCGTTCGCGGACACCGCGAATACGAGGCTGCGTAAAAATTTATGTCTTCTACTTAGATCGTGATCTACCGATGACGAACCACGCTAACTATTTTTATACCGTGGGTCACACGAGTTTTTTATCGAGTTGGAATTAACGATTTTTCTTGTCTTTTTTGGAGGGACGGGGCCATAATGGTTGGTCGATAAGTAGTGTGGGATTTTTATATCAGAGGTTTATTTTTTCCAGCACAAAGTAGTGGACGTAATCAATTAAATATGTATAATATAATCACGTGTAAATTATAGTTATACAGTAACCGATAGAATAATTGAATAGATTATATATTATTGAATTATTTTTATTTCGGAAAAATGACTGGCATTTTAAATATAAATTTTTAAATTTATGATATCACTTTTTGGCTAATATTTATTTAGGATATTCAATATTTTTTAAATATTTTGGAAGAAAAGGTAAAAGTTTTAGATTTAATTCTGTGTTAAATATTTTATTTGTATTCTTTCTTGGGTAATTAATTAATTTAATTAGCTTACCGTTGTTTTTAGGATTGTCGTTAGAGTTATTGGATCTTTAGAATATTCTTGTAAATACATAGGCGCATATGCGGTATTTTTTAAAGTGTTAAAGTTATATTTTTGTTATACTGGATATTACCTCTTTCGTACATGATTTATGAGGCAACTTCAAAGCGTATCACGTGTTTACCGTATCGACATTTAATACCGATGCTTGAGAAACTGATGAGAAAACCGAGAGAAGTGATTTCTGATGGTATATACTTTTCGCAAACAATAATTTAACTAAACCTAATAAATAATACTCTTCATAAAAATGATGAAAAAGAGCTTAAAAAATTTCATGTAATTCATTTTATTTTAATAATCTTATATTGTCATAGTATTATGAAGTACTTTATCTCCAAAACGTCTATTACATCTCTTTACCATTTACATTTGCAAATTTCTCCTCACCTGTAGTCAAACAAAATTCAAAAACACATTAATTCTATCTTCGCACACAGGTTATCATTCTCATAATAAATATATAAATTGTTTTCATTAATATTGAAGATAAACGACTGAGTTTACACAACATTGCTAATTAAGGTCACAGGTCATTGAACTTATCTCAACATCGATTACAATACCACGTTATGAGAGACAGATGTTAACACATAAGAAGTTGTTAATAACATCAGAATGACCTTCAAGAAGACCTTGATTGCATTATATCTTATGATCATTAGAAATACGTTACAAAATGAAGCACACAAACTCCCCTTAATCGTCTATTCATAGTTCCATCATCGGCAAAGATAATTCAAATTCTCCAAACAACCAAGACTCCTTATACAGTGTGCCCTAAAAATCGTGGTGCAGCAAGCAGGGTAATGATTCTGCACGCAAAAATGAGTCGAAAAAGAAGAAGAATATTTTTTCATTTCAGGTTTCATTTTCGAGAAGAAAGAGTTTGAAAATCTGTCAGCTGTGTGCTAACCACACACTAATCGACAGATTTTCAGCCTCATTTTTCTCCAAAACGAAGACTCGAATGAGAAAATCTTATTTTTCTTTTCCAACTTATTTTTTAACGTAGAATTATTATTCGGTGGGTATATCACGATTTCTGGACACCCTGTATCACGAGCATGATCATGAAACGATACAGTTGAGCCGTCTAACAATTTCGCGGTATCCATCGCGAGGTTGAGTAGAGCTGCAGTCTCATCCCCCTCAAGGTTATTACGAAACATTGTCAGACTGGCTCCCATAAACATCTCCGTGTAACATAAAACCCATTCATTCCCGAAAACGCACTCGAAGCTCGTTTTCCTTGCTGCCAGTCACTCTCGTCAGACGTCTCTCGTCCAGCAGCCTCTTCATCTCTAGTCCCGTTTATGGTTAATGCTTGGCGTATGCGCGTCTTCCGGCATTCGTCCCTCTATCGTTTCGATCCTTTCCAACCAGCCACTGTATATGCCATACACCATCCTATCTCGTCTCGTCTGGTCGCGGAAGGCTCGTGGTCCCATAAAGATCCCTCGCTAGAGGTAGCAGCAATGGGAATCTGCCTAGCCAATGCTAAACTCGGTATGGTCAAGTATCCATTTTTTAACTACTGTCTAAAAATCTTGCATTCAACGTTATTTTTTAATTTCATGGCTTTTTTATCATACAAGTATGTAGAATTTTTGCAAAAATAGGGAGAGTTCTATTCGATTATTAGTTTATCTAAAATTTTTCTAAGATAAATAAACAGGTAATATTTTAGGTTTTAATTTTGCACTATTTGTGAGATAAGAATATTGGAAATTAAATTAGAGTAACACAAAATATTCACAATTAAATTTTAATACAGGACTTAGTCACCAAAGCATCTCATTTTTTACTTTTCGACTTTCAAAAAACGAAGTTTCTCATCGGAAATGGTAGTGTTGGAGTCAATTAGTTTATTCAGATATTTGGCTTGAGATCTTATCATAAGTATATATTTGCCAGTAACTTTCTTGGGCTCCGACAGAGGGCACAGTCGAGTTGGTTACTATGCTTATAATGGCTATAGTACAGTGTCTGGGGCAACGCCTATGAGGGTGTGATCGCCGTTTGGAACCTTACAGATACCATTTCCTTACATGAATCTAACAAACATAACTGCTGCTATTACAAAAATTTCTCTCTTAACACCTGAACTTACAATACTAGTTACTCCGCTTTGTACTATTATTTTACTATCTTATTTAAACTCTCTGTCTACAGAGTCCTTATGCATGACTATAAAACAAACTAATACAAATCAAGTAAAAAATTAATTTTCACTTTCACAATTGTCAGCCTGCACAATCTCCCTCAGCGTTCCTAACTCGGCAGTTCTCAACAGTCAAGACTTTACCCATTACATTCCTCCACCTTCGAGCCACCCGACAGTATCACAGACTCTCTCAGGTCTTGCTTCAAATACTACAGCCTTTACGATATCCCCAAGAGGACGCCCCTGCAAAGGGTTAAATACCAATCTCCCTTCTTATTCCGTTTCTCCCGAGATCCACTCATAGTCCTCTTCGCCCACCGCGTGGTTATCTGACGTCGAGTCAAATGACCAGCAGCCCCAGTGCCAAAGACCCCCGATGAGACCAGGTTCTGGTTTTCAGGCTGGCGTAATCGACAGACGTGCCACATCGCACGGGGTCGCCGGGACTCTACAGTAGCTGAGAGGCGCCGGTGAGATTTCCGCGTCGCATCAAAGGAGGATCGGGGTGGTCCAGGAGGGAAAAATTAAGTCTGGTGGAGGAGAGCAGGAAGTGGGGCCGGTGCTGGCCACCGGGACGCTCCTCGGTCTTTTCCGCTTCAGGATGTCGTACGCCAATCGATTCCCGTCCTCGCAGCACACCCGTTATCGCAGCAGCTGGGGTCCATCCTCAGTCACTGTGTTCAATCGAGCCGACGTGCCCAGGCCCTCGCCGGAAGAGGAAGAGTACGCCGAGTTCTATCACGAGCGTCTGCACTCGGCCCAGAGCAGACAGTTGCTGCCGTTGCAGGAGGACCTCGCCGATTGGATCAATAAAACGTTGAGTGAGTAGCTTGTCTGATTTTCTGTTGGGGTCTTGGATAGGGTGCGGGTGGGCGCGGGAAATTTTGGGGTTGGTTGGGTCGGGTGGTAGCTGGAGAAGATTTAGGGTGGCGTGTCTTGATAAGGGAGCATGCTTACGACATGGGTTTGTCTGGTCTGGGGGTACAGGTGGAGTTTGGGCTGATGCTCTGCTGTGTACTTGGCTTAGTGCTGGTGCTTGAGGCAGATACGTGTGGCAAGAATATGTATTTATATCCTATGTTTGTAGTTTTATTTTATACAGGGTGATAGAGAAATAATTTTATTCATTATCCCCTGAGAAATAGTTTTGATAATTGTTTACAAATTTTTGAACAGTTATTGAACATGTATTAGAGTGTTTAAGTAAATTAATGCTGTTTTTTATTGAGATAAAAATGTCAGTATGTTACATTTAAGTACATATTACAGATTGATAGTTCTAGTGTTAAGTAACTTCAACCTAGGTAGCTTTCTCGTGTGATCATAAATAAGGTAACATGATATTTTAGGGATTTCCAGTTCACTGTTCCAACTTGTGTATTTTATAAACGACATATCATATCCGATTTTCATTTCCACAAACATAAAGCTTGATCTTATTCTAATTAAAATGAAATGAAAAATATACAATATAAAATGATAAAGATATATTTATTTTTATATCATGTATATAGGTAGAGTTTTCTAGTTTCATATACGGTATTTTATTTTCCGAGTACCAGAGACAGAAGGAAGGGATTGAGTGTCGAATTAGCTAGAGGCAAGGAGACTCATCCTGTAAGATGATCTTGAACAACGCAGAGAGTAACCTGTTTTCTCGACAGGGCCTGTAATCTTGCCTGTTGAACTGGAAACGTGCATTCTTGATTGGTTAATTCGATAGATGTAATCTGGTGATACGATAATCTTATTTAACGATAGTATCGATATTAGTCGATTCAAAATTTGATATTGGAAATTCGTCAATGCCCTGTTAGTCTAAATACCTCGAAGTTAGGATTTTAGGATTAATGATTCGTAAGAATCGGATGAAGCGATGGTTTATCGATTGAAGTGCTCTGGGAATGGTTCGTAGCACGTGACATGTTAGTCATGGATTGCTGAGGAACAGTGAAACCTCTGAAAGGGACTGTGGTTTTTTCCCTCTTCGCTTTTTATGGGATTTTGTTCGCAAACCGTGAATCTTTGCAATCATGGCCGAGAACCGTGAAGAAATAAACGGTAGGAAATATTGTTTCGGGATTCGAAGCAATTGCGTTCTAATTAGAAATGTGCAGTTTGAAATAATAAGTACAAGAAGCAACTCGAGCAAGTTATTATATAATGTGGTCTAACTGGAATGGTATTTGGTCATTTTATTACGAGGTCTAAGATAGAGTATAGTGCGTAGCTATAATTATTGCGAAATTGTTTATAAGAATTAATGAAAATATGTTTTTCGATATAAATTCTTTGATTATTTTTTCTCGATTAATTTTTTATTAATATTCTGTGTATAATATTCACCCTATAAAAATTGTTCATACTATATCTTTTTCGTGCAATAATTTTTGTATTCGTATTATAACACCGATTCTCAGTTTATTGAAATTGAATTTTTAATTAATTTATTGTCTTATTACGTACAATGTCAGTTGCAAATGTTGACAGTATTTTAGAGAAAAAATAAATATCTGTCGGATCACACTGTACATGAAAATTCAATTTTTGACGGATGGAATAACTTCAGCGATTGAGCTATGCACACGAATTTCCGATAACCATCAGCCAATAATTTTTCTGATTTACGAGGTGCTTCTGCGGAAATTTGCAGCATTCGCTTCACGTAATGCAAATACATTTTCGTTCATGAATCAATGTTTTAACCAGTTTATAAAAATTTCTCATAATTTTAGATAATACTTGCCGGAAACGAAATTTGTTCAAAATTGAAATATTTGATTTTTAGAAAATATTATATATCGTTTATTTAAAAATGCAACGTTCAAAATTTTGATCTCAAATGCTTCGTCTAAAATTTGAAAAGCACATGTTGAAAATTTTGAACTCATTTCCACGTTTTACTCTTCCTCGAGGATATTCGGTTTATTTCCATGAAAACGAAAATTTACTGTAGATTTGAATATTCAACGAATCTCAAACCCATAACTTCCCTACTTTCTTCAATATTTGAAGCAAATCGCAATAAATTTAAATATTCAAGGAGGAATTTCAACTCATCACCGAACTTTCATCTTCCTCGGTCAGATTCGACTGATTTTCATGAAAAAGAAAATTTTCTGCAGATTTGAATATTCAACGAATCTCAAACTCATAACTTCCCTACCCTTTTCAGTATTCCACGCAAATCGTGATAATTTTAAATATTCAAAAAGTTTCCAATTCGTTACCAATCGTTAAACCTATTTCCATGACTGTTACTAACCTCCAGTTCTCGTTCCAAGGGAAAATAAAAATTTAACATTTCCTTATTAACCCTTTCCAATATTCGAAGCCAATTATAATAAAGTTAAATGTTCAAAAATACCCTAAACTCTTCGCCAAGCATTCGATCGATCTTCACGACCATCGCTGACATTTGTTGACAGAAAAAGAAAAAGTTAAGTATTCAAATATCCCGAGCTTTTTCTTATCTGAAACAGTAAGCTTTTATTTTTACGTGCTTCTGGTTGCGAAAGTTACGAGGTGCAGAAAGGAATCGTCGTGACGTAACGAGGATCGGAGTTCCGCGCGTGCACCCGGCTGCTTTTTTCCGTGGCGTTTCCTTCGCGATGCGGGTTCGCCTTAAAGGGTCGGAGGAAAGAGCCCGTCGGGCTGTGGCATACACAGCGTGCGTACACGACTTTCGTAGCGCACAAAAGGTTCGCATCTGGTGCGACGTGGGAAAGGATATTCGTAACATTTGGCCTTTCGTTTCGTCACGTTTTTGGCGGACGGTCGCGCGGATTAAAGCCGAGTTCACATTTTATATTACAACACGTTTCGCATTTTCTAATATTTCATATCTATATTTTAATATCACGTATTATGTCGCGCCTTTAATTTACATATATATTAATATTATATTTTCCTGTCTAGTGATTTTATATTTTCCAATATGTAATGTATTTCTGATCTTGCATTTTTTAAATATTGTATTTGGAGGTAGACGATTTTGTTAGGCAGAGTTCTTGGTAATTTTTATTTAAAACGAAGAGAAAATTATTAAAAGTAGAGGTGAATATAATATACGTACATGGTTATATATTATACGATACTATTGTACTAAACTATGCTTTTATGTTATTGTTTTAAAGTATGGTTTTGTGTTATATTATAATATTGCTATAACTTGAAGTCTTTAATGCATAATTTTAATATAAGTCTCTGTTTTTCCTTATCTTTTTTTATCTTTTTTTTTTACTAATAAATTATGACGTATTTGTTACAAGTTCGTATTCAATGAAGATACTTAGCCTTCGTTTACATGATTATTCGTAGCTTATTTTTAACTTTAATCCTTCGTGTGTTTACCTTCGTCATACCAGTGCTAAAGTAATAGAATTTTGTAATACACGTTTAATTACATATCATAAACCACGCTCGTGGAAACGTAATTAAATTTTTGGACAAATATTGTATCAAATTCTGAAATTGCAAAGCCTTTGTGTCATAAATTTCATAAACCCTCTGGTAGGACAGTAATAGAATTCTTAATGTGAATTTTACTAAAATCTAAAATTATAATATGTAATTCCGTATCATGAACTTTCTAACACAAAAATTTATAATATAATACAAAAAAAATAATAAGTAAATAAGTAAAATTAATAAGAATTTAAAATGAATTCTTTTTTGGGCTCGCGGAATATTTTCTGTTTAAAAATGGCATGCATAATTCGAATAGGTATCATGGAATGTGTTTAATCAGTGACGGATGAAATGTGCACCGTTTAACAGGGATGAATTTATTAGTGAATAATTTGCATCCATAAAATGGAATTCATTATGAAAATGGAAATTTCGTTTGGGCTGCATTGATTAGAATCCTTGAACGCATGCATGATTCAAGAAATCGTATAAGGACAGATGATCGATGTCGTGTCGCGAGGTGGATTTATGTACATCAAACAGGGAAGATAAGAAATCGATGTCGAATGAATTTTTAAAATACTAGAAATATGAACTTATAAACGAATCAAGAAAAATCTCGCTTATAACTTCACACGAAATTTAAATTATCGATTGAATAATTATATTACGAAAATAAATATTAACGATAATAATTATTATCAGCAATTAAAATTCTGTTTATAGAAATTTTTTCACGTCATAGTACATTTTTTATACGAAAGAAAATTTAAATAGAAAGATAGAATAATTTGGTGTAATCGTCTAATTTCTAATTGAAATAAACGAAGAGTAATTTGTCCTTTTCACGTCTAATTTGAGTCAGAAAATCGAATGGAAGTTGAGTAAGACAATAATTGGAATAATCACTTCACCAGTTATGGTAGATATAATGAAGGAACGATTGTAGGATAAAGCAAGCTAATTTCGGAGAAGGAAAGTTTGAAAGGAAAATTCGTTTTAATTGATCCATGTACATAGTTTCATACATGAAACTGCGGCATGAACTAGCCATCGACAGATAATCCTCTAGATCGGTAGTCCGATACGTTAACGAAGTTCGAAGTAGGTGAAAGTTCTCTCCATTAACTGGATTAGACGCGAAGACCACGAAACGGGAATTCTCAGCAGCGATGTACAGCAAATTATCATTGGAAGAACGTTACAATCTCTTTTCCCACCCTCTTTGAGAAAATAGGGGCGAGTTCCAGGGATACCATCATAGTCAATATTTTTACCTAATTTCTACTCAAAATCATAGCCATTTTTTATTATTTTACTTTCACTCGATTAGTTACCAAATCAGTTGAAAAGATTATTTACAGAAAGAAATTAATTTTGGTTTCTTTATTCATTTATTTATTTTCATCCT